GTTCACTAAAATGATAAGTTAAATAGCAAAGCGTGTTAAAGGACAATGTTTAATGAGCGACATAGGATAATTTTAGAAAAAAAAAAGAAAGACTTGCACGACATGAGACTATAACTGGACAGAAATTTCGAACTGTTTTGACAAATTGTCAATATCAGAGCGCAGAGGTAATTTGCACTTCTCGCTGCTTTACAAGGAGATCAGAGCGATTTCGAAAAGTAAATGTCAAATGGAATCAAAATGAAGAAATCACTGAAATCGTAGCTGTACATGTTGTTTCCCAAAGTTTGATGGCTACTGTTTTTTCTATGAGCACTATACCGTTTCTCCTCAGGAAATAAAAAATACAACAAAAAACGAACAATTTTATACAACGTCACTACAGAATTTTGCCATATATCTATGCATTAATTTGCAACATGATGTCAAAATTCCGCAAACATGTAAGTGAGAAGCTCTTACCTTTTCAAGACAAACTCACCAGAGCAATTCAGGGCCATTCTTCTTTGCATTTTTCAAAAGAGTGGGAATAGCTGTGACGGCAACAGTGCAAATTGCAGAAACAAGGGAAACAAGTTCATCACTGTCAGCATCTTCAGCGAGGTCGGTTGACAATTTCTGCAAGGGAGCAGCGTTGTTGATAAGGATTCACTCTATGCAAGATAAAGGTTGTAGGAAGCCTTTCGGATTACCTGAGCAACGGTTGTTGTGATATAATAGCATAAATCATTGACGAGTTGATCGGTGGAAGCCAGCTCGTCATTTGCCGCAAGAATATTGAGCAGATTTGTTAGTGCAGCACTATATTCAAGTTTTGAAAGATAGAAAAGTTATCAAAAATTACTAAAGATTACCTGTCCTCAGCAACCGCTCCAAAAACTACAGAAAGAACAGGAGCCCACTGCTGCAATCCAACTCCAGGCAATTTGATCCACTGTTCAACGCATTCAACTGCAGCTTGCCTAGTGGAGGGAGAAGCATCATCAGCACCCATGACAGTAGAGATGATGCGAATAATATCCTATAATCATTTTAAGTTCAAACAAATGTCCTATTGTCACGTCGTTTGATGTGAAAATTTTTCCCATAAACACAGCTACACGATATAGGCTAAGAGTATTTTT